TAAACTTAATTGTTACCAGACAACTGTTGGTTTAAATTTAATTTGTTTCATAAATGAATATATAATTAGAAGTGATGAAATTCTGAACCTACTTGAATCGAGTTTTTAAGCTAAGAGCTGCCATGACATTGGTAGTAAACGCCAAAGTTTTAGAAATTGGGGAATAATAGACTGCTGTGAGTTCTCCACGTACTCTATGAGACTTTGGTCGGAGAGTATACAAACAGCTAAAGTCAGTACCATGCCAAACCTGTAAAATATTAAATGAAAATTAGAATTTCTAGAAAAATAATCTCAATTTATGTTTGAAATTCTTGTTTGTATGTGTCTGGTAAATTTTAAGGATTTATTCCCAACTCACAAATGTTTTCTTATTTAAAATAAAAATGGATCCAAATATTTTATCATTCTGGCTAATCAGAAAAACATTATTTTTCAACAAATTAGTTTTCACTTTACTAAAGTGGCAATGGAAATTTTTAATGGATCTTTGTCTCTAGCTGTTTTAGAAAATATATCTGTATACTTTTATATTTTCTATGGAGATTTGTATACTTAATTATTTTCTTCTGTAATAACATTTGTGATAATGTTTCAAGGAAATATGGGGAGCATTAAATGTACAAGTGGATTTGTTCATACATACATCTGGACAAGTGTTTTGCTATTATATTTTCCAAAGTTGAAATACAAACATCTTTTCTATTTTTAGCTTGTTGTGGGGTCACCAGATTAAATTGGCTTTCTTTTCATTAGTAGTCCTGGTTAACCTGGTTTATTTAAAAAGTAAATGTAAAAGTAACAAATAGTAACATTAAAAACTTAGTTGCAATCTAGCAATCCTGCCTACAAAGATGTTTTATCAAGTCTATTATAACAAAAATGGGAGATCAATTTATGACATGGTTCTAAAACAAAAGTGATCCCCCACTTAATATCCACTTCTTTCTTAATCATATATTGAAGCAGGGTTGCCAGATTTGGACTCCACAGGCAAGGTTGCCATATTGGGCCACAAGTAGCAAATTAAGCTAAGGCTATTAAATTTCTAATTAACTTTCTTTTCAATTGTAGCCTGAATTAAACCAGTTTATTTTAAAATGTAGCCACAAAAGTTACAAGTAGTGAAATTCAAAGTTTAGTAGCACTGGCTTTTCAAATGGTATCCCAATATGGCAACCATGCTTACAGGTATGTTTTATAGTGCAGAGAAATATACAGAATTTACTATGACAAAATGGGGGCTATATTTATGATATGATTATGAAACAAAAGTGACCCCTACTTAATATACACTTTCTTAACCAAATATTGATGAACTACAAATAGGAAATTGTGCTACATTTGACAGCCTAGCTCTACTAAATTTTGATTTGACTTTCTTCTTGTTAGTTGTCCAGTTTAGGCCAAATCTATCAGCTTCATCTTGTATCCAAGAATTTAGTTGCATCTTTGCTCATCACTTCCTTTATGATAATAGCATCGATGACTAAGTTCACTGCCAACATGCAGGTTCAGGATAGAAATTTCCAGTTTCAGCAAAACCTGCTCCTGTCTTCCATTCCCTATCACAGGATAGCTTTGAAAGAGTTGGTTGGAGGTGAAAGAAAATCAGAGAAGCATGTTCCAATGACATGACTTTTTTAAGGTGCACCTCAACTTGTCTGGAAGTGACCCACATTTGATTTCCTCTGTGGCATATATAAAATGAAGTATGCAGAATCCAGTTATAAAACTGCAGCAGACTGCTGCTGACTGTTATAATTTCGAGTAGCACCTTTTGTAGCATGTCCATTATGCCTAGCTCTCTTCATCTGCTGGGTCAACTTGTTGAGATTTGTTGTAATTATCATCTGCTTGTTCTATAGTTGGGGTCTTTGGAATTGGTTGTGTTTAGTCTGAGTCCTTATTTCCAACCTTGCTCTCCAAGTGTGGCCCTACCAGGAGTTTAGAGCTCTTAACGACATCGTTCTCAGAGTCATTGGACCACACAAGCCCCTCCACCAAGACAAGGAGTGACATTCAGAGGTATACACATAGAAACCTACACAGATAAACACACATATGTTATTTTACTCTGGATGGTGGAGTAAACAGTCAGTTATCAAATGTACCACATTATTATTATTATTATTATTATTATTATTATTATTATTATTACTTTATAAACCAAACAATACAGGAGAAAATAAGAAAAGTATAAAATTCAGTATCTGTCTATATTTCTGAGATGAGGTATTATGTACATTATTTACATTATTTGGACTAATAATGTAAATAAAGTATAAAATTATCATCAAATATATGTTTTTATTATTGTTGTTAAAAAATAAATATATTTTTATTATTGTTATTGTTAAAAATGTATATATAAATAAGGTCAAATTATAATAGTGAAATTCAAACACAAACAAATTACCATGCTTACAAGGTTACTTTCTAGAGTAGAGAAATATATGAAATCTACAATGATAAAAAAGTGTGGTGTTTCTTCATAACATGAATCTAAAACAGATGTGGTGCCCCACTTAATATCCACTTGTTTGCTCATCAAATATTTGATGCTCTACAAACAAAGTTACCAAACTGGGCTACATTTGAAAATTGACCATTATTAAATTTGATTTTTTTCTCATTCATAGCCCATTTAATCCAGTTTATATCATAAAGTAACCTCAAAAATTGCAAGTAGCGAAATAAAAAATTTAGTTGCTGGACTTTTAGAAGCAGCCTGTAAAAACATTTTCACAACTCTAAATGCTTTCTTAACTCTTATAAAAAAAAATGGGAAAATATGGATCTTAATTATTAGATTGTTTATTGGAAATGTTGGCAAAACAATGCCTAATTGCCAGTTGATTTGAATTTTATAAAATGGTACATAATAATGTAATGAATCTAGGAACGCTGCATGAATATTTAAAATTGTGCTGCAAATAAAATATGCAATATTCCACAAACATAAATTATAAGAAATGACCAAATGGTAACGATATTCAATCACAACAAAAAATACATGTTTGAAACAACAAATTAAATTTTATATACACAATTTACAATTTCTTTGTTTGTAATGATGTGTGCAAAAATATATTTTAGAGAAAAAGTTCTTTACTATTTCGGAAATGCTCAATGTCTAAAAAGTTGTCTGCCTTTGATTAAAAAGGTTGAATTTGACTTAGACAAAAGATTTTTCGATGAAAGATATTAAGTGAAAAAATTTGTTGTGCAAATTTTTCTAATCTCACATAAAGGAAGTTTGTTTCTTTGGCGATTATTTGACACATAATTCCCGCGCGTATCTTTCACGTGTGTGAATCTCAAATGCGATGAAAATTCGTTTGCCGTTTCTATTTAGAGTTTTTTTTTAACAAGCAAACGGCTCAACGGTGCTTGGTATCAACGGTGTTGTATCTGCAGGAGTGGTTGATTTTTGGGCGTCCACCCTGTTTGCATAACGGGAATGTGGGCTTGGCTGGTTTAAACATAGATCGCCTACTGGGACATTCCTTCTTTTTATGAAAACAGTGTGAAACACTTTGGAGTCATGTGTAGCCTTTGTCTCATCCGATAAGCTGTCTAGAACCTAAGATATTTTGGGTTTGATTGATGCCTAAATCCTAGAACGCAGTTCAGTTCCGTAGCGTTGTTTGATCAGTGCTAGAAAATCTCTGTTGCTGAGCTGTAGCCATATGAGAACTATTTCTCGGGTGTAGGGGAGAGTTCCTCCTCCAAATCTGGGTACTATCCGTGTCTAGACCAATACGTTCAATCCACATGGATAAGTCCGACAATGAGAGTTCTTTTACTGAGGAGTCGGAGACCGAACATGCGGAGGATATTAACCACAGAGACTCTCAAGGTGAAGTTTCATCAACCCGCCAATTAAGCACGATCAGGTCAGTTCAGATCAAGGCTTTTTATGAACACCATCCAGATCATTTAAAAATCGATTCAGATGCTGAGATGAGCACAACAAAAACATCTTTTGCCACATATATTGGTACTCCCATCAAAAGATCAAAACAAAGTGTGTTACAAGTGGATAGAGCCTCAAGAGGATCGTCGAGATTGGCCTCAACCTAAAGCAAGGGGATTACACCCTCCGTCTCGACACCCTTGTCATCAATGAACTCGCTGTGGACGTGCTAGTGGGTATGCCCTTTATGAAGGCCAATGACATCGGTATCCAGCCATCCAAGAATCAGGTAACTATTGGTGATTAATTAACCATCCGATATTTACCAAATGACATCTCGTCACGATCAACACACATTCCACGCGCACAGACTCTGATCCTTAGGTCTGAACTCACATCAACGGAAAACATGAGTCTACCCTTGCCATGGAGCCTAGGGTTGAGAGGAGTACAACGTCGGATTGACCCAAACTTGAGATGATTGAAGCAGTAGGCGGAAAGGTTCGAATTGTCAACCACACCAGTGAGCCAACGACCACTTGTGTCAGGTTTACACAACAACAGACATTGACACAAGCATCATTGCTAAACGACCATCTGACTCTTACACACTTAAGGTCATAAATAAGGGACCATCTGTGTGTCATTCTGACATCATAAACTTGACCCAGACAATGTCTTACATGAGTCAGATCGCCAAAGATTCCGGGAGTTACACGCTTCACATGTTTCCGTGTTTAACCCCAAAATCGGAGGTTATAATGGAGTAACCGGTAAATTCAAGGCTCACATTAAAATGGGTCCAGTGCTCCCTCCCACCACAAAGGGCTCATTGTCCCAGTATTCCAGGGAGAAGATACAGATTTTACACGAGAAATGTGACAAACTTGAGAAACTTAAAGTGTCCAGAAGACCAGAGGACTTAAACATAAACGTTGTGTATATAAACCAATCCTTTCTGGAAAAGAATCCTAATGGTGGTTACAGGCTTGTAACTGCATTCGAGGATGTAGGTTAGTATAGCAAACCCCAGCCCTCGCTGATGCTCTACGCTGATGCTCTACGCTGATGCTCTACGCTGATGCTCGACGCTGACTCGGTGTTGCGGAGTATATGGCAGTGGAAATACATCATTACCGACCTGACGAGTGTCTTTCGTCAGATACCTTTTTTACGTTTGTCCCTAAAATACTGCAGTATAGTCACTCCTTTTCGTGGTGTACGTGTGTGCACACGTTGCGCCAAGGGCATGCTAAGATCTGGGACCTCTATGGAAGAGTCTAAGTTACACGTTTTTGGCGACTGTTTACAGCCAGAAACTGGCAGACGACTTGTACTGTGGCGGAGAGACCTCTTACACAACTGGAGTCGTATTCTGGGTGCTCTGAAAAGAAGCAGAGTCCATTTGTCCCCGACAAAAGCTACAGTATGTCCGCCTACTACAACTATACTCGGTTGAATGTGGACAGATTTCTGCAAAAGCTAAAATAGAATCGCTACTCATGTAGTATTCTGATGCTGTGTTTGGTCTCACATCTTTGCTAGTTCCTGGGACGTGTCATACCCAAATACGCCAAAATTATGTCACCCTTAGAGGATGACATACCTGGGAAACAATTCAAGGATAAGATCCAATGGACAGATGAGTTACGTTTCCACTTCTCAAATGCCTAGAGTCGGTTAGTGGTAAATAAAGCCATCCTTCTACCCGTACAAAGCGACGAATTGCGGATCGTAACTGACGGATCTGTAAGCAAGCGCGGACTCGGTGCTACTCATTATGCCTCGCGCAGAGGTAAACTCCACCTAGCTGGGTTCTTTTGCACAAGGTTGAGGAAGCATCAAATAATATGACATCCCTGTGAGATCGAAGTTTTGAGTATTGCAGCTGCCATCAAGCATTTTAGCCTGTACATCATATAGTCAACGCATCAAACATATGTCCTTACAGATAGTAAACCATGTGTACAGGCCTTCGAAAAGCTGATACATGGAGAATTAACATCAAGTCCGATGGTAACTATCTTCCTGTCAACTGCCAGTAGATACTGGATTTCTTTCCAACACCTTGTTGGCACAACCAACATACCGTCAGATTTTGCAAGTCGCAACGCCCCAGAGTACTTCAAACCCCGATGCCAAATACTACAATTTATTATACAACGTCATATGTGGCATAGATGTGCATGACGTACTTAACAACAAGGTTAATTTTCTTCCTGTTACTTGTTTTTGTGTATCCTTTTTTGTAAGCTAAGCTTTATTTAGTGTATTTTTTCTTTTTGTGTGTCAACCTTCTACAAATTTAATTCTTTTTTTTGTTGCTAGCTTAATCCTTTTTATTTTGACATGTTTAAAATTGTTGTTTTTCACCCTCTCTTGACTTTAATTCATTTTTATTTCATTTTCTGTTTTATTTTTTCCACGCTAAGTTTGAATTTCTTTCTTTCTTTTTTTTTCGTTTTTTCACCATCCTGCGATTCTAAGTCGTCTTTCTTCGTCGCGAGGCTCTTTTCTTTTCATTTAATTTTTATTTCCATTTGTTTGTTGGCAAAAGCGTTGGACATATAAGGCGAACTCTTATAATTATTTGGCCGAGGTGGTACAAGGCTGGTCCACCATGGCGGTACATTTAGAAGCAGTGCAAATGAAAAATACGTCACAGTCTAAAAAGAGATTGGGGTGGAGGCAGGCCCCAATAGGATGCCAAATATTATGATACTGAAGGAAAAGTACGAGTCGTACATAAAAGGGAATGAGATCTTTACAATTCCCGAGGCAATAGATGCTGTAAAGGCAGGAATAATCTACTTGCTGACCACCGACGTAGGAACTCGGAGGTTAGGATCAGTAGGGAAATGATGAAGGAAACGTTAAAGAGTCTCAAAATAGGTCCAAGGATTCTGACCAAGAGGTAAAATGCATTATGGGATATTTTGCTGGCTACAGAAGAAGCGGCAAAGCAGTTGGCGGGAACTACACTGACAACAACGTCCGTCCATCTTCAGACGGAATATATGGGGACTAGAAGGACGAAAGTGACTGTCCATGGAGTGCTGGTGGCCATCAACAGAGATCAGCTGGGGGACATTTTTGCCCGATATAGCGAGGTGGAGGATATCTTAGCAACAATCAGTAAAGCCGGAATTGCCACTGGTGACTTTTTCATCCAGGTGATATTGACGCTCAAAAGTTTCAGGAAGATCCCCCAACATGTTGATGTGCCGGATAAAATGATACCTGTGGTCGTGGAAAGCCGTCGTCCTTACTGTTCTTGTGGTGCCTCAGAACACATATCTAAAGCGTGCCTCAGCCTAAACAAGCAGCAGTTGCGGAAGTGTCCGGCAAGGCCCCCGATGTTAATTGGAGGGGGTAGCCAGGAAAGGACGGAGTCGGCAAGCAAAAACTGCCCCCCCGCCCAACTCAACAGGAGGTCCCACAGCAACAACAACCCCAGGAACGACCGGAGCCTGAAAAGCTGCACCACCCGCTGTCGCAGTCTTAAAAAGGGTTGCAACAAGAAAAGGAACAACCGTGGCAACAACAAAACAACAGCAGCCCAAGCAAAAAAAAAAAAAAAATAGCAGCAACAACAACTGCAGCAAAAAATCAAAAACAACAGCAGAAACAAAAAAAATCAACTGCAGAAACAATAAACAGTAAAGTGGCTGATATGGAGATGGTGAAAATTCCTCCGTCCCCACTTCAGTCTTCCTCTTTGAAGAGGAGAGGGAGGAGGAAGAAGAGGAGGAGAAGAAACACATCAAGAAGGAAAGGCTGGCCGGACGATGCAGTAAGCAACGACCGGGAGGAGCGTGTGTCTTTTTGGGGCAGCTTGGGCCGTTCCTGGTGGACTTAATGCGCCTAGTCTTAATGGAGGACTGGAATGCCGTCCTGTAGCTACAGCTGGATAGAATGTTAGAAGGACCGACACAGATCAGCTAGATTGTCCCACGTTCCACCGGTTAGGCTATTCGGGCCATAGACTTGTCTGTACTCGGGTGGCGTTAGATTCAATGCCTAGAATGTCTGGACACTGGAAATTCAATGTCTGGACAGGCGGAACTTCTGGCAAAAGCTAACTAGATTAGTGCAGCAGGAACTGGTGTGGGCTGTTATTGGGAATAGGTGGTGAAAGAGACTTAAGGATAAGATTAGGTCCTTCACAACTGAATATAGCTAGTGGTTCGCACTAGATAAGGCTAATAAAGTGAAGGCTCTCAAGGGGATGGTGGAGGATTCTCTAGAGAAAGGCCTAGTTAGGGAGGCTCTGGGGCTAGCGATCGCTACCAGGGTCAGGTAATTAGGCATAAATTAAACAAGATGTCTACCAAAGCTGTGAACATGGGCTCAGAATTGTGCAAGGAAGAGTTCCGTCGAGGTTCCGATCGAAACATTCGGGAGGTCGATATCCCAGAGGGGCGTATACTGAGTTCGACTTTTCTCGGCTTTCGCCGACTGAAGCGGCTAGCTGTGAAGAGTGGGATCCCAGAGGAGTGTACTCTGAGGTCGGCCGACGACATGTTTGAGGCGTTTTGGCGGCATTTCGGGAGTCGGTTTACCAAGGAACCTGGTCTCTCTGACGAAGAGTTTCACAGCTATTTGGATGACTTTTTGGACTGAAGCGGCTAGTGTGAGTGGGGGATCACAGAGGACGAAGTTTACTTGTTATTGAAGAAGGTCAGCAGTGGCAAGTCACTTATGAATTGTACTTGACGCTGTCGCAATTTTGACTGTCGTGTTCAACAACTGGTCCGTACTCGACCGGATTTCCAGAGTGTTGGGTGGAATTTAGATGATATAACTCTGCTAAACACAGAGTTAAAGATTTAGACTAAGATTTTGATGGAGAGTTTGCAGTCAGTTGATGAGAGTCTGTTGGGACCCGAGCAGACATGCGTTGTGAAAGACCTAACAATTCAGAGTAACCTGCATCTGATCCGCACAATCCTAGAGGGTGTAAAAGATGACGAGAAAGCCGCACTGATCAATTTGGATCAGTCCAAGGCATTTGATAGGGTCGACCATGGGTATATGGCTTCTGTTTTGCAGGCCGTTGGATTCGAACTCTACTTCTACAAGTAGATGTGCCTTCTGTATTGCTCCCGAAGTGCTGTGGTACAGGTGAACGGAAAGCGGTTGCGCGCTGTCGCGGTCGGTTCGTCATGGTTGCTCACTGTCGCCTGCACGTTACACTTTGGCGTAGGAGCCTCTCTTTCGACGACTGAGGGACAGGGCATGCAGTCTACGTGAAATCGCTGTCCCAGGATTTCCGCGTACGCCGATGGCGTATACACTTTCATATTATCCTGTAGCGACACTAAGGTGGTGGTGAAGACGTTTGAACGGTACGAAAAAGTCACGGCAGACAAAATTAACAAGTCTTCCAGCTTGCGGTTAGGTGCCTGGAAGGGGTGTCGATCTTCCGGGGCCCTTTGGTTGGATGGACGTGTGGTTGGGACCAGACTCCAGCTGGAGAAAAAATGTTCAGAAGTACTGGCAAATGCCGGAGTGGCGGTCGCGACTCGTCTCCGAAAGCGGTTGTCCTTGAAGGGTAGAGCTGAGGCATGTGCCACTTACGTCTTTCCTCTTATCCTTTACCGGTTGTCTGTACTTCCTCCTTGTAAGGAGCGTTGCTCTCCTTCCTTTAGTAGGGTGGTCGCAACCATCATGTCGAGAGAGATGTCTGTGCTCAATGTCCAGGATGGCTGAGAATGCCACACTTGTTGAGTCACCGACACGTCTCCACGTTGCCTTTCCTACGTTGCACGTTAACAAAGGACCTGATCTTAGAAGAGAGTGTGAGAGCCGTCTTCCCTTAACATTATCAATCCTCCCTTGCATTCGCAAGCCTCGATATCAGTTGATTTTCCTCCTCAAGTGTCGATCGATCATTCCACCTTCCAGTGACATTTCTCGGCCTAGGAGAATCCTGTATCAGTAACTAATGGGGGAGGTCGCTGTCTGAGTTGCTTAGAAGAAAACGCTTCGTACACCTTCTACCATTGTCCTCGGGTGCACCCTTTCTGAGACTATGTCGGCGTATCATTCCCGAAAAGCTCATGCTCATTGATCCCGCATACATGTATGACAATGTGTCGTCCCCATATTCTGAGGTGAAACAGATAGTGTGTCAGGCGCTGCTAGCTGTGGCTAGAATAATGATTTGGACGACGCGGATGGAGGAAATCTTGCGACGTTCTCGCTATTTTCCTAAGGATCTGGCCAGATTATTTGAGCATCAACTCAGGATGAAATTTGTTTTTGGCCTCCATTTTTCATCTCGGCTGGGTCAGTCTTTATGATTCTTCCATGTCTGTGTTGATTTTATCCTTCCCGCTCCGTTAGCGAGAGAGCCTCTTGATTTTTTCTGAAAACAGAATACAGCGGCCACTCTTATTTTTGAGGGATGGACGAGTCCTAATAACATCAATTATTTTTAGTTTGTGTGATTTGTTATATTTTAGTTTGTTTTCGGGTTTATCCTCTCCTCCTCTTCGTCTCCCCTTACCATCGTTTTATGTATAATTTTATACACAAAGAAATTGTTTATGTTATGTGAATTTATGGTATTGAAATAATTAAGGAATTGAATAATGAAGGATGAGTTTCTGTGTTGAATGAGCAAATTGTTGAATGGGCCGTGAATCTGATTAGCTAAATATAGGATAGTTAGTGTAGACCAGCCTCAACCCATTTCCCCTCTCTTTGATCTTGTGCCACAATTGCTGTATAAATATTGAAATAAATATTGGAGTAAACGATTACGGAGAACTGTTTCTCTTTTCCGACAAGCTATTGACCTTGGACATTTTTCTGTTACTTTTTTTATTTCTTTTTTTGTCAAAGTTTGTTTCCTTTTTATTATATTTTTCGCTTTCAGGTTTTGTTTTGTTTTTTCGGCAGCGGCCGAATTTGTTTTAATTGTTGTTTTTACATTATAGTTTGTTTTATTTTCGTATTTTTTCTTTTTAGGTCGGACTGCTTTTTTCTGCTTGTTTTATTTTTGTAATTTATATTTTGTTTTGCATTTTATTTTCGTTTGTCCTTTTTACGTTTGTTTGAATTTTTGCGACTAAAGGAAAAAAGAAAATCTCTGGGTGTTAGAGAAAAAAAACGTCACAAGATGGCCGACCATAGTTGGATCATCAAAAATTTATTTGGATCTGTCACCAATGCAGATCCACCAAACAAAGAAAATGAGGCTGTTACCCCCCAAAAGACAAATTTAAATGGAAAGAAATCCTCTAAAGTTACGCCCTATAAGGGAAATGATAATTTACTTTCTCCCGTTATAGAGAATACTAAAGAAAAGGAAGTTGAAAAAGAGTAGGATACGAGCACTAGCATGGCAGCGGACGAAGTCAGCGGTGAGAGAATCACCCCCTGTTTGGAGTCCCCCGCCCCCAAATGCATAATCAATGTGGCGGAGAAAGCCAAAGAGTACGTTCATCTAGTGACTGAACGATGGCGGGTTTTTTGGTAGATCTCTATGCACAAGAGCGCATTGCAAAAAGATCAGTATTTGTGCTTAACAAGCTCACACACAAAATTTGTCGGTGCACAAATGGCACGGTGATGAAAGCACTGAATTTCTTGGGGCGTGGTTAAATCTCAACAAATAATTAAAGGTTTAAGATGATTTTGTAGAACCCAAATTCTACATTATTCCAATACCCAAAAAGTGGAACACAGAACACTTTCAATTTCATACACTTTCAAAAAATTTCGAGCCCTCATTGGTTAAGAAATATACAAGTAGGCGTGACTACCCACCCACGCTTAACTAATTTTTACAGCTCGTGAATGAAAACCAAGTCTCTGTGAGCCACCCGAAGCAAATAAAAACAGAAACTCATTCATACTCGCCAGTGAGCATTGTGACATCAGCCAGCGTCCCGTTTTGCGGACCGATTTTGACTGGTGATTATCACTTGATTTTTTTCCTGATACTTTACGTTCTTTTTGAACTGTAAGCAACATTTTGGTTAAGTTTGATTTATTTTTACCGTTTTCCTTGCAAAAGTTTTTGATTTTTTTCTTTTTCAGTTTCTTACCCTCCCTATTTTTATTTTTCCCTTTATTTTGCTCTTATACTTTTATTATTAGCTTTCTTTTTGATTTTATTTTACTTTTAAGTTCCCTTTTGAATTTATTTTTTCCGTTTTTATTTTCTGTAACCCCTGCCACAGTTTATCTGTTTATTGTTCTACATGTTCTTTTTTCGTCAGACTTTATTTTTCCTTGTTTATTTGTTACGTGTTACTTCGTTCTTTGTTTTCCTTTGAAATATCCGTTAAGTCTTCTGTGTTTTTAATTGTTAAAAGTTGTGTAGATATTTGTTCTAATTTTTTGTGTTTATTTTGTCAAATCTGTCCGATTTTTTCTTCTTTTATTGTTTTTCTTTTTCATTTGTTGCCGGGTTGACTCATTTTTAAAGGCAGTCATTTTGATTTTGTGATTAGTTTCATATTTATTGCTTCGTATTTTCCTTGTGTACTTTTTTTAATTTTAGTGTTGCGTTATTTTTAAAAAAGATAGACTTATTGTTTTACTGACTTACTGCGTGTAATTTTATTATTTTGAGTAATCGTTTTTTGTGTGTTTTTCCTGATTTTGCTGTTTATATTTTTCCGTACATTGTCCTTTTTGCGTACGTTTTTCTTTTAAGTAACCCTTTCTTTGCACGTTTATCTGTTGTTTTCATTATTTTGTCCCGTTAAATTTCTTTTTGTGATTTATACGTATTTATCTTTTTGATTGTTTGCATTTCTGTTTCTTTTTGTGAAAGAGAAAAAAATTGTTTTAGAGAAAAAAGAAATGGGAGCAAGAAAAAAATCTTTTGGGGACTAAGAAAAAAAGAATCCGCCTGATAAGCTTTCTGAAAATAATAATGACACGGAATTAGTGATGGATGCCGAAGAGGGCCAAAATTTAGGCGAAAATTCGGTTTCCACCGAAAGTATGGTGTCACCAAATGCTGAAAATTTGGGAAAAACCAGTTTCTCAGACAAAAGTATGGTGGCCGAGAATGTTGAAAATTCTTCAAACGAGAACCAGAAAAGTGACGACAATGAAAACAAAGACGAAAATGTAGCGGTCGGAGAGACGCCCTCTTGCTGGACGTCCACACCAAAATGTAAAATCAACATAACCGAGTTCCCGGGGAAAGCCAAGAGCTACGCACATCTGGTCACAGCAGATGGGCTCTTGTCAAATCCCGAGGAACTTAAGAAGGTTGAAAAAAGAATTGTGTCAGTCCTTGTGGTGGACAAGCGTTCGCGCAAAATTTGTCGCTCTAGAAAAGACAGTTATAAAAGGTTTGACTTCTCTGGGCATTAAAGCTTCATCAAAGGGAAAGGCTTTTTTCTATGTGAGACGTACTGTTACCCACGCCTGCCGATTGTGAAGCAACAACCACACGAGACCTAATATCCAACAACCTAATTCTGCGCACTGAATATGAAGGTAGGCGGAGGACCAATGTTTCTGTATATGAGGTTCCTTCCCGGATCGTCAGGGAGCACTTGGCTGCCTATCTGTGCCAGGTTGGACAGATACTCAGTACTTCCTCTGACGATCTGACCAGGTGGTGGAGTTTTGAGATGATGATTGATAGGAAGCCCTTCATCTCCATCCCCAACAGTCTGGATATAGAGGGCCAGAAAATGCCGATCATCGTCGCCGGGCGTAGACCAAAATGCTGGAAGTATGGACAGACTGGTCACCTGTCCTCTTCCTGCACAGAGAAGAAGGCCTCTGAAATTTTGGCCCCTACCCAACCAAACCCCACTTTGGTCAAGTCTGTTGTTTCTGTCTCGCCTGTAATGGGCATGCCAACGATCGAGATCGGTCCAACTCTCAACACCCATTCCCCGAGGAGCTTTTGCTCGCCGCTAGTGTAGTTGTGGAGAAGGGAGAGAGAGCATGGCAGGTCGTTGGTAGGGCAAAAGGGAAGCTCCAGGCAGCGGGACCTCGTTCCACAACAACTAAAACAGGCAAAGGCACAAACAGCCCCACTCCCTCTAGCAGCTCCAAGGGCGACTCTCCGACCAGCTATTCCGAAAGACTCAAGCAATCTGAACCGTCCTACGAAAAAAAAAATAAATAAATAAAAAATACAAAAATTGAAAGAATCCCTAAAACAGAAACGTCTACAGGCTGAAAAATTCTTCGGCTACAGCATTTCCAGCTAATAAACAGCAGCATATGGCTCCACCTCCTATAGCACAAATACTGCCTCCCACACCTTCCAAAATGACTACCCTTAAGAAGGCTCTCAGTCCCAAATCCTTAGCCCAGAAAAAAACCTACTCCTTCCCATACCCCTAACCCATCGCCTGCCCAAACTCCCATCACCTCCTCACACACACACAAAAAAAACCCCAGAAAAACAAAAAAGACAAAGAAATCCGTCAACGGACGAGTTAGAATCTGTTATCAAAAAAAGATAACCAACCCTAGTTTTAATACCGGAGTTTGAAAATATCGAAAATACAAGAAAATATTGAAAGTACAAGAAGAAAGGTTAGCGACACAAGTAAAAAATTTTAAAGACTTAAAACCTCTACTAAAGAAAATTAACAACGTAGATGTTGAAAACCCTAAAAACTTTCCAAATGCAAAGATTTTAACAGTTGTGAGGACTGGTGTTCCTGGCCAACAGATATGGTCCATGATAACGGAGGCAAATACTGCCTTTGGCATGTTTCCTCCTTTAGTATGTATTGATAATGATAATGTTAGAAAACTAAATATATTTGTTCTGGGAGGCTCCCGCTTTTCGTTCACCCTCCTTTTGCAGAGCTTTAAAACTTACGTTCCCATTGCACATTGGTGGACTGTCTCCTGATGGCACCATCAGGACTAAGATTAGCACAAGATCGTTGGGAGAGGCCGTCGGTGTCCTTGCCCCGGTTATGTTCAATGCAGGAGGGTCACCACAATCGGTTTGATAAATGTCTCTCTGGTTAGCAAGTCTGAATGCCCAAGGCCTGAGGTCGGAGTCCTGCAGGGCGAGGCTCTCTCGTGACCTTCAGAGTCTCGGAGTGAATATATGTTGTGTGCAAGAGACCCGTTTTGCTTCTCGCGATTATGAAGACATTCTGTCTAGGGGTTTTTCCCTCTATTCATCATGTTTTGATGGACGCTTGAGGAGTATCTCTTGGCTGGTGAACAAGTCTTTGAACGCTGTGTGTGTTTTTGTCTTCGCAGATCCGGCGGGAAGACTTTGCGTGCTAGATGTTAACATAAAGGATGAGGCTCTTCCTCTCATTGAGGTTTATGCGCCCAATCACCATGCTGAGCGGCCTGCTTTGTTTCGGCAGATCTAGCCGTTTTTGGCGACATCTCATCGAGTAGTTTTAGCGGGAGATTGGAATGACATAGATCGTATAGGGTCAAATTCGTGTACTAACAACTGGGACGTGAAACCATTTCAGGACTTTATCGACAGGTTTGATCTTGTCGATAAGTACCGGAACGAACACCCCCGGGAGTTAGTGTGGACTTTGACTAATAGTGGCGACTCGGCTGCACAGGTGCGTTCGAGCTACCTCGACCGAATTTTAGTTAAGATAGTCGACGTAGAGCTCTTAGAGTGTCCAAGTTTCCATTACATAGTTTATTCGGATCATAGGCTTGTCTGGGCCAGTGTAAACTTATATAAGCCTAATGTTAGGATGGTTGGCTACTGAAAATTAAACTGCTCATTATTTGGTGAACAGGATTTTCGGGACCAGCTACTACTAATTATACAGAGGGAATTGACGAGACTGTGGTTGGGAATGCCTGGTGGGACAAATTAAAATCTAAAATTAGAACGCTTGCTGCTGATTTTAGTCGTAGACACAATCCAATTAGATTAGCGGTGCAAACGGCTTGTGAGCAAAAGGTAAATCAGGTAATTAAATCCCGTGATAGTGGGGAAATAGCTTTAGCTAAGGCAGAGTTGGCCTCCTTGCTTATCAAGAAAGATCAAGCTGGTAGTTAGGGCTAGGTTAAAAAGAATGTCCTCTGAGGCGACGAATATGGCCGCTGAATTGCGTGCAGAGGAAAGTAGGAATGCATCTCGGCGGCATATCGCGTGCGGACACATTGCCGGATAAGCCTTGACCGTGACTTACAAACGCGGGCATATGACCAGTTGTGAGGCTTTTTGGGATTACTTTCAGGAACTTTTTTCCAGGGAGCCTGGTCTGAGTTCTGCTCAGTTCGACGCCTGTTTAGCCGACTTTCCCTGCCTTGAGGCAGCTGAAGCGGCTGGGTGCGAGGTTCCCATCACGAGAGTCGGAAATCTGGGAAGGGCTGAAGCAGGTTGGCCTGGATAAATATCCATGATTAGATGGGGTTCCCTACGAAGTTTACTTGAGGCGTTCGCCCGTTTTGTTCCTTTGCTGGAACTGATTTACAACAACTGGATGAAGCAGGGTTCGGAAATTAAACGAGAATACGGTTCTCCGCGGAATTTTCCTACGCAAGGACAAGAACTTCGGGGATGGTTCTAGATAACTTTCGCCCTTTAATCATGTTAAATACAGAGTTAAAGATTTTGGCAAAGATCTTAGCCAACCGTTTGTAGATTGTCCTCTTTAGTCTAATTGGCTCCGAACAGACTTGTGCGGTGAAGGGCAGGACTATTCAGGACAACCTTCATATGGTCCGATGGATCATCGAAAATTCGACAGTGAAGCCGCGCTGATCAATTTAGATCATCCAAGGCTTCGATATGAATGACCTGGAGGCTGTTCTTTCGGCAGCCGGTTTCTGGCCGAATTTTCTCACCTGGATAAGACTTCTGTATGCGACTCCTGGTGCGCTGGTGGAAATGAATGGGATAAGATCGGATTTTCGTATTGTCTCTGCTTCCATTCGTTGCCACACTCCGTCATTAACGCCTTTGCTTTAGATTCTTGAGTTGGAACCTTTCCTTCGCAAGTTAAAGGCGAATCCATCCTGCGCGGAATTTCCTACCTTGTGCTTCCAATCTCGGCTTCGCTTCTGCCTATGAATGATGACGGCGCGGTTCTTGGTCGAGCAGAAACCGAGATTGACGAAGTCATCCCTGAGAAATGTGCACTTGTTATGAGATGGTGACCCCGGGCCAAGATCAACCAAGGTAAATGTTGGCTTACGGTTGGGTGCGTGGAAGGGACGTTTTTCCGAGAAATCTCCAACGTGCCGACACGTTGATGAGGGCATCGAGATCCTGGGTCCGTTTTTTTTATTGCAGGGTGACGAGCGCCGTTGTGCAGGAGTTTGTTGAAGGCCTCTTGGTTTGCATGCTGCGTTGGGAAAGTTGTTTGTCCTTCAAGCATCTTCCGTTTGTGGCAATCGTGGCGCCACCGTTGACGTCGGCTGAACAATATGTTCTTTTGCTTACTAGGGGTTTGGAAAATTGTGACTTGGACGACGCGTCAGGGAAGGGGATTCCCTGGGTCAGAACCTCTTTCATTCGTCAGTTGATCTTATACTTTAAGCATCAGCTTAAAGTCAAGATGTCGGAAAAGCGGTGGCTCACCTCAACAGAATTTGGCAAAAGGTGGGTGAATCTTGGAAATTGTTTGTCGAGGGCAATCTATTTGACCTGAATGGCACTTTGATGACAAAAGCATCAAAATATTGTCCATCCCGAAATTAGGCTAGTTTTTATGAGGTGTGTTTTGAATCTTTGAAAGGATTTTTTTCAGTTAATTAGGGCTATCTTCCCAACTGATCTTGGACCCCATTTTTTTTATTTCTGTCCCTATCTTTGTTTAGTTTAATTCCCTCTCCTCTCCCTCGTTAAGTGGTTAGTGATGTCAGTTATCTGGTTGATGCGGGGTGCCTTTTGTTTCACGTGTGTGTTTTCGTATTTGTTGTTGTGTCCGAATGCGTTCGTGTCTGTGTGAGTGCTTCGAATGAATGAATGTTTTGTACTATTGTAATCCAGCATCGATTTCGTCCTGTTAACTGATGTTTCTGCCACATTTTAGGATTGGGGGTAGGGTTACTAACATTATTTTGTTTAGTTTCTTGTACCATTTTGTTGCATATTGTACATACTCATTGGGGATTTTTTTAAATTGTTGTTTTATTCCCCTCTTCCCACAGACAATGAATTGTACATATGGGGACTATCTAGGATTTTCATAGAGACAAGGCGGTATTATGGTGGATGAAGAAAGGTAGGTAAGAATGTGTTGTTTTGGTGTTAGGACTATTGTTTGTATGTTTGGGTCAGTGTTTGTGGCTAGCTAAGTTTAAAGTTAAGACAGATGAAGACTGTCCTTTTCCCCAATATCCATTTTGGCCTTGTGCCACATTTTGTACCACACTACAAATAAATATCGTGAGCATTGTGACATCAAACGAACTGTAACTAAATTTCACGTCACACAATCTTAAGTTTTTCGTTCAGACAAGCTTAACGATATTCACACTCACTAACCAAAACTCATCAGTAAACTCTATTCCCACTCATTCACCAAATGCCTTATGTAGAAGTTAAACAAATTCCTGCTAACAAATCAACTTTATTTCTCAACATTCGTGAACATTGTATTACACAAAACAATCAAAGGTAGATAACTTCTTTGATCACAATTTTCATTCAACTTTACAAGCATTTACTACTTACATGAACAGTAAATTCTTAAATGGAAATGTTTCTCTTGCAGTTAAATTACAGAATCTTCAATAACAGATTTTAACAAATATCCTTTCAAATCAGAACTCATTAACAAAATTTAATCTTTCACCAAACTTGAGTTCAACATATTAAACTAACAAGATTTCACCTAAAAAAAAATCGACTATATTTTTGTAAAATATTTTCATTACAAATATATATTGAAAATTACTTGTTATTCAAATATTTGCCTTTTGCCTTTTATCAAAAAATGTTTCTTGTTGTTTTCTCTTGTTGTTTTTGCATTTTGATTAACATATTCGTAGAGTAAAAGATGTATGAATTGATTTGGGCCGTCAACAACATTTAAATAAATGATAACCACCAAACTTTCCACTGCAATTTCATGTGGAACATACTGTTACCCTCGTCAGAAGACTGTGGATGTAACGCTGCGTGATTTAATCACAAAAGACTATATCATCCCCAACAAAATACTGACGGTATATGAGATTCCTGACTATATTCTTGGAGAGCACTTAGGGGCATATCTAATGCAGTATGGCTAGTTGATCTGGTTTCCTCCTCGTCATCGTGAAGGGGAGGAAACCAGCTTGTTGAAAGTGTGGCACGATTGGTCACCTTGCCCCTTCTTGCCCAAAGAAGGCCTCTGAAGTCCCACCTAAGTCCGATACCCCCGCGAGCTGAAACTAATGGGCCTGCC